AGAGAGAGAGAGAGCACGCACATCGATACTCTCGATCGGTCGCGACGATCGATGGCGGTAGAGGAAGAAGACAAGATGGTGGTAGAGTGTGGACCGGCGTGAGAAAACGTGTGCAATAAAGAGCGTTGATATAAAGGGTCTACTAGAGACACTATAATCAGAGATGAGACACCAAGCCGGTCCGCCATGTTTAGGCTCGATCCTACGAGAGAGAGAGAAATATACACTATCTCACTCTATCGTATAGTTAGCTCTTTTCAGCTGCACTATTGCACTTGTGTAGCAGAGTGTAGCTGACAAAGACCACAAGGGCTGTGTTCTGCCGAAGTTAGCTAAGAATAAGCGCTTTATACTGATTGGATAGATCTAGAAGAATAGCTCTATTTCAGCACAGATCTGAAAGTATAATCCAATGAACGCAAAGCGCTTAGCAAGCGCAAACTTCTGCTGGACACAGGCAATGACCTAACCACAAAATCACGACAGATTAAGGATACATTTATTAAGTGACTCACTGAATGCAAAATGGGCGGATGTTCATACCAATTTTGCAATAATTCCTCCAAAAAAGGATATACAATGAGAATTTTCCCCAAAAATGCAGAACGTTGAGCTGTATGGGTACGAAATATGGGTCGTGACAATTGGATACCAACGGATCATTCTTATCTCTGCGAGGTAAAACTATTTTTATGCAATAATTATTATTAAACTATAAAATAAAAATTGTTTTTATCATAGGTACACTTTAGTTCGGAAATGTGCTCTTATTAGGCCTCCCTTTTTCTGTACTTGTACTTTTCATATCAGAGCCTTATGTAATTTATTCGTCATTAATATAGCTTTGTTTTCTGTTCGTACACTGGTGAACTAATGCAGTAAGCTAGAATGAGAAAAATATCCTTGTCTTACTCTAATTTATTACACTAGTTCACCAGTATAGGAACTGAAAACAAGCCTTATATAATTCATGTATTTGAAAATCAGCGGCAATAGCCTAAACATGGCTGACCAATCAGAAGATGATCCCTGGTGTCTCATCTCTGATTATAGTGTCTCTAGGGTCTACGGTATTTAATTTACCACCATATAAATGTTATACCTTCGCCGTTTTCGCGACTATGGATGAAAGTATAATTGAAGGTACTCAAAACGGCCATATTGAGCGCAAATGTAACTTTGTTGTCAGGTCCCTCTTCGCCAGCCTCGGATTCTACTCTTCTTCTTCTTCTTCTTCTTCTAGTTGTGGCTCCCAGCTCCCTCTCCCGGAGCTTATGCGGCCATGACGAATCTGCTCGACGCGTTTGCGATATAAAGAACAAACGGTACAGAATTATATCCGGAAGAGGTGATTGCACGGACCATAAGTACAAAATATCAGCCAGATCTTGTCGCGTGTCATTGTATAGTTTCATGACCATCATCTGATGATGCTTCGCTCCGCCTAATGCCCTATTTTGTTGCAGAAAGTCTTGTTCCTATATAAAATTATTTTCAGCACAATTAATATATTCCCAAATAACTAACAAAGTATAGAAATTGCTAAATATTATCAGCTAATTATCTACGTCAATAGAATCACATTTTTTACGGCTCTTGATAAAAAAAAGAACATATATTTCTCCTTATTCTTAATTTTCCTCCCTAGAATACCTTAGTGGGATCCATTTCCTCCAGCAAGGATAAAATCCTATTTAACAGACCATCCTCTTGCAATTTATTTGTATAGTCAGTAATGTGTCTTGTAAGAGCCGGTGCATCCACCGCCCAGTTGTAACGAATTCGAGTGTGCGCTAAGGTTTTTAATACTGATGTCAGCGCTTTCCTTCCATCGTAATACAGAAGAACAGCGGTTAGCCTGCGGGTTAAACCAGGATGATGCGGCATTTGAAGCTGAGCGGTACAGAGGAGATCCAGCGCCATGAACTCGTTCAAATCATACATGTCCGATATAATGAGCGTCTCGTCCACTAGCTCCTTCGATAACATTTGGTGACCCAAGCCAGGTAGGATGATACCATCCGTGACTCCTTTCTTAATTTCTTCTCGGCTCTGGGCATTCTTTGGCTGACGTACAGAAAATGTAATATTAAAGTACACATACACGCACATACATAATATGGAGAGAGAAAGCACCGTAATGTAGTTAACATTATAGCACTTGTACATTTGGAGTAAAATTATAAATGGCCATTTAATAACCAGAATAAAAGAATACTAGCTTACTGGATTCTCTAATATCGTGAGAAAACTCTGTCTGTGATTCCGCAAAGCCTCCGTGAGCTCATGATACTGGGGATCTTGAGTATCGGGGACCGATATCACATCTCTGACACGACACTTCTCAACGAGGCTTTGTAATTCCTTGTACGGGGTCCACATATCTTCCGTTGCGATTACTCTGTCTATATAAAAAGAATACACCCTTTTAAACTCTGACATCGTCATTTATAACTGCATACTAAAATAAATATAATAAATAAGCAAATTAATAAAATTCGTATGGCTCGAATGCGATAAACGCAAATTTGAAGGGATAAAGGGACTAAAAGCCGTGACAGGGTCTTAGTGTCCAAATATTTTATTCTAAATTTATTGCGAAAAAATATCACCTCGGCCAGAATTTGGCTGAAAAGAAATAAAATAAATAACAGCGAAATCTTATTGATACGTGTTTCATATCGTATATGTATAACTATAACATTAAAACTGGTTTTAAAAAATGCATATTGTTTACAAATAAAGCAACCGAGGCAAAACGCGTGCGATATCACTTCAGCTGACATTTATCTAACTCTAAATTACAGTGTGCCATTGTCTGACTCGATTTCGTGAGATGCCTTCGCAATTTAAGATTTGTTTTTTCTTTTATCAGAAAAGTTTGATCAAAAGTAAGATTTTTGCAGAAATTGTGGTTCAAATCTTGCTTTTGATCAAACTTTTCTGACTCGGGGTCGGGTCAAGTCAGAAAATCGAAAACGCTATCAGGCTTCTCTCTGCTGTTGTTATCTGGAAGTCAATTTCTGAAACTTACGAAAATTACAAAAATGAGTGAATATTTATAATTTCAATCTGTGAATTCGCTCACTTTTGTAATCTCCACAAGTTTCAGAGATACACAATCCATCTGCTCATCTTATTTACAGATCGGATGTATATTTATATAACCACGAAAGCTTCATGCATATGACAACCGTGTCACGTACACTGAAATATACAGGGTGTCCTAAAACCACCGGAGGTCCTCTTAATGACAGATTCCTTAGAACATTTCCAGACGAAAATCCTAATACAAAAGTGTCGAGGCTATAATATTTAGTTTTTAAATTAGAAGCGATTATTTTCCACAAATGATAGGGCTGAAATTTCGCGCGCTCAGGAACGAGCGCGCGAAATTACAAGTGATATAAAAAGAACGATATTCATAGGAGCACTTATATCACTTGTCATTTCGCCGTTCCTGAGCGCGCGAAATTTCAGCCCTATCATTTGTGAAAAATAATCGCTTCTAATTTAAAAACTATTATAGCCTCGACACTTTTGTATTAGGATTTTCGTCTGGAAATGTTCTAAGGAATC